TCCTGCCTCAGCCTCCCGAGTAGCTGGGATTACAGGCGCCTGCCACCATGCCTGGCTATTTTTTTGTATTTTTAGTAGAGATGGGGTTTTGCCATGTTGGCCAGGCTGGTCTTGAACTCCCAACCTCAGATGATCCACCCGCCTCGGCCTCCCTAAGTGCTGGGATTACAGGTGTGAGCCACTGTGTCTGGCCTTGGATCCAAATTTAAATCCAAAATTGGATTTACCAATTAAATCCAAAAGGGAGCTGAGTGAGGTGGTGTGTGCCAGTAGCTCTAGCTACTTGGGAGGCTGAGGCAGGAGGATGGCTTGAGCCCAGGAGTTTGAGGTAAGCTTCGGCAACATAGTGAGACCTCATCTCTATTAAAGAAAAAAAACCCCAGCTGGTTGTGGTGGCTCACACCTATAAATCTAGCCACTCAGGAGGCTTAGGTGGGAGAATTGCTTGAGCCCGAGAGTTCAAGGCCAGCCTGGGCAACATAGCAAGACCCTGTCTGAATTAAGAATCTTAGATGGAAGCTGTGTAGCCCATAACTTGGCCTGTTCTCTTTTGAGGCAGGAGGTATTTAGGGGGATGAGAGAGCAAACCAGTTCTGCAGTTTTTTATGTGGCAACTCTGGCCTCAGACTACAGAGCTTTCTCCTAGCCTGAGAGGCTCCTTTCTGTCAGTAGCCTTGGAAACGGTGTTGCTCCCTGGCAGTGTTTACCCAGCCGCTGTCCCCTGGTGAGTTCAGAGCCAGGTGATCGGCAGTGCTCCCTCTTAATGACTGTGTTTCATCTGCAGGGCGGACACTGTTGGAGAAGCTGTTCAGCCAGCAGGAGAACGGGCCTCCAGAAGAAGCAGAGAAGTTTTGCTCGCGGATCATTGCCATGGGTCTTCTCCTTCCTTTTAGTGATTGCTTCAGGGAACCGTGTAATCAGAATGCCCAGACCAATGCAGCTTCGTTTGATGTAAGTAGGAGAAATCACTTCTGTCTGTGAGGCAGATTTGCTGTTGAAATAGCAACTACGATGTGTGTCTGCCCAGTCACCCTATAATTTAAAAACAACATGTGATGCAAGCATTTTTTTTTCCTTAGCTGCTCAACAGCTCAGTATGTCTGTTTGTACACTAAAAAAAAAAAAAGCTAGAGTATTAAGTACATTTGCCAAACCTCCTTTTCTTAACAGATGGTCACTCAGGAGTTCTCTAGCCTGCTTTAATCAGCGATGATTTTAAAAATTGATTTCTGAATTATTTTTAATTGTGGTAAAATACAGATAACGTAAAATTTACCATTGTAACCATTTTTAAATGTACCGTTTAGTGGCATCAAATACATTGATGTGATTGTGCATCTACCACCACCATCCATCTTTAGAACTTTTTTATCATCCAAAATAAACCCTGTACCCATTAAACAATAACTCCCCATTTTCCTCTTTCCCCAAGCCCCTAGCGACCACCATTCTCCTGTCTCTGTGAATCTGACTACGCTAGGTAGCTCATATAAGTGGAATCATGCAGTATTTGTCCTTTTTTGTGGCTGGCTTATTTCACTTAGTCTAATGTCTTTGAGATTCATCCATGTTGGAGCATGTGTCAGAATTCCCTTCCTTTTTAAGGCTGAATAATATTCCATTGTAGGTATATGTCACATTTTGTTTATCCATTCATCTGTCAATGGACACTTGGCTTGTTTCCACCTTTTGCTATAATGCTGCTATGAATATGGGCTCATAATGAGTGAATAATGCCGCTGTGAACATGAGGTACAAAAACGCTTCAAGACTCTGGAATCAGCGATGATTCTAAAGTGGCTGTAAGTCAGTATTTATGACTTTGCTGGTCGTAGGCATTCCTTCAGAAGCAGCTCCACCGGGCACAGTTATTCCTCCCAGTGGGCCGGAGGTTTCCATGGGTCCTACAATGCTATTTTGGTGTGTTCCTAACTCATGTATGTGTGAAGTACGGACATGAAGCAGCATCATCTGCTTCATCCCCAGCTCCCATTCACCGAGAGAGTTAATAATGTAGAACAGTAATTCACCAGGCATATTCACAGTTCGTAACGAATATGAGCACAGCTGGATTCTCATTGTCGAGACAGAGTATTGCCAGTCATTCTCAGGTATGTGGTATATGTGTGGCATTGGTTGGGATGAGTACCTCTAAAACCCAGATGTGTAAGAATTCTCATGTGTGAAATTCTCATAACGAAATTGAAGATTGGTCCACTTGTGCAGAGCCCAGGATTTTTATTTGAGGATAATGGTTTTTCTTTTTCTTTTACTCTTTTTTTTTTTTTTTTTGAGATGGAGTCTCACTTTGTTGCCCAAGCTGGAATGCAGTGGTGCTATCTTGGCTCACTGCAACCTCTGCCTCCCAAGTTCAAGCAATTCTCCTGCCTTAGCCTCCCGAGTAGCTGGGATTATAGATGCGCACCACCATGCCCAGCTAATTTTTGTATTTTTAGTAGAGATGGGGTTTCACTATGTTGGTCAGGCTGTTCTCGAACTCCTGACCTCGTGATCCACCCTCCTCAGCCTCCCAAACTGCTGGGATTACAGGCATGAGCCACTGCTCCCGGCTGTGGTTTTTCATCATATGAGTTATTTACTTTGTTTTGTTACTGCCAACTGTGCTCTCTTAGCCTTCTTCAATATATAGGAATGAAACAATGATGAGTTTTAAAGACAATGAAAATGAGCCCTGGCTAAGGTCAAGATACGATAATAAATAATGAAGTGTCTGTATCTGTTCACTTTGTTTCCTCTTCTTTACCCATTACAGCCTGCAGTCTTCCTCAATCTTCCTTTAGCATTAGGGAAATAAATCACACAAAATATTTGGAGATCTTCTTGATTCTTGATGCTTCCCATTTGAAAGAAAATTCCCCATGTTGTGCTGTGTGTGACTTGGCAAGTTTCCTTCCTGAGATTTGTTTACATTTTTCCTGCTGCAATTTTTTAAAATGGCATTGCAGCTAATCACTACTAGGTAGATCTTTTTCTCTTATGGGAAAAATTGTGTAATTTAAATGTTTTCCTCCCTTCTCTTCTATGAGAGGTCTGTGTTATTGTAGAGGCAGAATGCTAGAATGATGGTGTGTTAAATACTATAGAACTCAGTTCTAGAAGATATATTGATTTGGCAAGTTGGAACTATAATTAGTGTAGTGCAGGCAAAGGCAAACACTAGCCATGTCTAGCACTTGCTTTTTGATTCAAACTGTTCCCAAGTTAACGACATTTTCCTCCCTTAAATCCCAGAAGTGAACAGTCTTGCCAGTCAATGAATGTAGAATTGGATAAACAGAAAAGAAAGGGTAATCCTGTTTCTTTCTCTCTCTATTTTTTTTTAATCGACTAACCTGGTTGTTTCTTATACTCACCTCACTCTATCCTTGTGTTAGAGACTAGTAACTCTTCCCCGTCATCTTATTTTGGAGGGCAGCTGGGTGTGGCATCGAGTGTGAAAAACAAACAACAAAGGAATACAATGCCTTGATGTTGTGTGAAGGCTTTCCTCAGAATCGGGAATTTCTTTCCTTCCACTTGATGGGATTGCATTTTGTCTTCCTTTATTCACTGGCTCTGTACGACCTCTCTACTCCCCCTTCAAAATGAACACAAAACAAAGAAAAAAACTGAAGATACTCTTGTATGAAATGTTATGCCCTATACTTAAATAGCAGCTCAGCAACAGAACTATGCGTTTATTGGATGTGTAGTCAAGGAGTTTCTTGAAAACCCGGAGAGGGTGACGATATAATGATACAGGGGGTTCTGAGGACTGGGGTGTCAATGAGGGATGGGGAAAAATGTGCTTATCTATGGGGAGAGAAATTTCCGATAATTAGTCTCTCTGCTGATTTCCAGAAAATAGCTGTTGGGAACATTTCTAACTAACAATCCTCTTGAGATCAGTTGCCCTTCGAGACAGAACATGCTGTGGGAATAAGGTCATAACTGGCACCCTTCCTACCTCCCCACCCCCCCCAACTTTGTTCCCTTCCCTAATGGGATCCTCTCTCTCACCTCCCACTCCTCTCCCTTCTCATCTCTGCACTTACCTCTGCAATTACAGCAATAAATATCTTCAGTTTGAGGCTCTTCACTGATGTAGTTTATGTATTAGCCTACTTGACTCAACCCTTCTGATTTTGTTTTATGTTATTTTATACAGTTTTAGGGCCTAACATTTTGCTTTATCGAGTGCTGTAGAAAGTATGAAAAACAATTGCACATTTTGTCTTACCTTTTAACATGACTAAGATGTCAAGAACTTTAAAAGACAAAGATGGCTTTGAGTGATCCTGTTAATTCATTCACAGATTTTTACCAAATATATTCGTTCTAGAAGACGGGTAGTGTTGTAGTCTCTGGGGATGTGTTAGTGAGCAGGAGAATGTGTTCTGTTGAAATGTGTAACCTATTCAAAAGGGAGGGAGACAGATTTTGTAAAAATGCACAGGCTAATGAATTGCTCTTAGATTCTAATAAGTGATATGAAGGAAAACAGGACTAACAGGATGGAGTGAAAGGCATGGAGTAGGATGAGTGCAGAGGGGAGCCCTGTGAGATGAGGTCTGTGGGAAGGCCATTCCAGGCAGCTCCCAGGGCAAGTCCAAAGGGCATCATTGGAAGAGCACAAGCATGACTCAGAGCAAGCTGGAGCTTCGAGAGATGAGGACAGCAAGGGCTCAGGCCATAGCATAGGTAGGGTCTGAAAAGCCATGGAAGGAATATGGCTTTTTTTTTTTTGAGACGGAGTCTTGCTGTATTGCCCACGCACGATCAGAGGCATGATCTTGGCTCACTGCATCCTCTGCCTCCTGGGTTCAAGCAATTTCTGGCTAATTTTAGTATTTTTAGTAGAGACAGGGTTTCGCCATGTTGGCCAGGCTGGTTTTGAACTCCTGACCTCAAGTGATTTGCCACCTCGGCCTCCCAAAGTGCTAGAATTACAGGCGCGAGCCACCACACTTGGCCTTTTTTTTTTTAAATGGGAGGTTTTGGGAGGCTTTATGCAGGGGAAGAACGTATTTGTCTTATAATATTCTTTTGTGGATCACCTGGGCTGGTCTTGGTTTGTTTGTTGTGGTGGTGGTTGTATTTGAGACAGGGCCTCACTCTGTTGCCCAGGTTGGAGAGCAGTAGTGCAATCACAGCTCACTGCAGTCCTGACCTCCTGGGCTCAAGCGATCCTTCCACCTCACCCTTCCGAGTAGCTGGGACTACAGGCATGAGCCACTGTGCCCAGCTAATTTTTTAAGTTGTTGTTATAGACAGGGTCTCACTGTGTTGTCCCAAGTTGGTCTTGAACTCCTGGGGTCAAGCAGTCCTCCTGCCTCGGCCTCCCAAAGTGCTAGGATTATAGGCGTGAGCCACCATGCCCGCCCCCAAGCCTGCTCTTTGAATGTTTGAGTGTAGGCAGGCACAGAAGTAGAAGCAGGAAGGCAGGTGGGATATCGCAGTAGTTTAGTTCTAGATGGTGGCAGTAGCTTGGGGCAGGATGGTGACAGGGGAGATGAAGACCAGTTAGTAGGTTGGTGTGGATTCTGGAGGTATGGCTGATGGGACTTTTGGTGGGGTAGGCATGGCAGCAAGAGAACGCAAAGAAATCAAGGATGACTTCTTGATTTGAAGTAGCTGGGTGGATGGTTATGCAATTCATGAGGTAGAGAAGACAGCTCCATTTTGGGAGGAGGACGTAAGGATAGAACTGCTAGCAAGAGAAAACAGGGCTAATACTAATGCTTGCTACTTGGCAGATTGTATTGCTGACTTATAGATCATGGTATATTTCAGTGGTCTGAGGCTAGGCTTCTTTGTTTATTTGGAACCTATTTTAGTCATCTCTCTCATGCCTTTTTCAAAATGGCATCCCTTTTTCTGGGTCATATGCGTATTTTCCAGCCAACCACACTTATCTTACATAATTGTTGATTATTCATTAACAAGCTCTT